AAAATGTAGTTTAAATTATATTTAATAATACTAAGAAAAGTAATTTTATTCATTGTTGCATTATTTTGTACATTGCATTGCAACATTGTTAGTAAAATACTCGTAATTTAAATAAATAATAAATTGAAGAAACGTAGAATAGCTTGAGAATAAGTAGATAAAAATAATCATTGCAAAACAACCCGCAATCGATTCTAATAAATCGTAATTACACACGTTAGATAAAAATAATTATATGTTAATGTTACGTCCTGGCCCACGGTTACGATCGGGCTATAATGGAGTAACAGAGAGCTGTCGTTTCTCTTTATCTCCGCACAGCAGGTTGGCGATCCCGCTGCGGCAGAGTCGAGCGAGTTTGTGTGCTCTCACGGATAGGTCAACGGCGTATGCCGATCTTACTCTATCCTATGAGACCCCGCTCGTCGGTCTCTTTTTGAGTCTAGAGATTTAACTCTACAGACTAAGGACGAGACCGTGCGATCAATTGAGGATGTGGAATGATGAGAGGTCGTCTTAATTAAAAGGAAAAGATTATAATACGTGCGATATTAATTTATTCATTTAAAGGTGTTTACTGTTATAATTTTTAAGTGTGTGTCGTGTGGATGAATGTGGTGTCGCAAATTTTACAATAAAGCGGAGGGTCATCGCTCGGAGGCTAGAGAGATGGAATATATATATATGTATGTATGCGTGTCGCAAGAGTGTGTGTGAGGGGCCTCCGGCGGGGTTTTACAGATGTAAGTGTGTCGGGTGCATGTTTAAGGCACCGATTCGTGGTATAGAAATCATTCTAGATCTATTTCTATAATCTCATGGATTGTTGCGGAACTAGGGGGGAATATAGAGTAAAAATGGTGGACGGGGACTAAGCGGATGTTATCTAGGTATGGAAATTTGATAGGGAGAAGTTTTTTTGGATGGAGTGGTGGATATCAAGCGGAAGATGTCGGAAAGATCTGTTGTTAAAGGGTCAATTACAAAGGGGATTCCTTCAGGATTTGCTTTTCTGTAAGTGGAGGCTAGTCGGAGGAAGTGTTGGAATTTAGGATCGAGCGGTAGGGTGGTTGATCGTGAGGAAGCGGAAGATTCATCATCCGCGGGTTCTTGCCTGGATGTAGAAGGTAGAGGGGAGAGAGAGAGAGAGAGAGAGAAAGCGTTATTTATTCTAGCGCTTCTGGGACAAGTCCCCTAAAGCGCACCAGAAAAGTGCATACAAAACAAGCAATAATAGTACATAAGTGCGGTTAATACGGAAAATAAGATAAAATAATTATAAAAAATAACAATAATTATAAAATAACAAACAGATATGAACATCGAAATATTATAAAAGTAAATAGCAAATATTATACAGGGCAA